ATTCCTGCTCCTATGCTGCGCACTGAGCAGAGCCAGAGGAGACCTTTGATAGACACCTTCGTAGTGAAGATTTGCAAAACACAACAAATGTGCTGCCCTGCCCTGTCCCCTTCCCTGCAACCCGTGGAGCTGGCAACTCTGTCAGCCTCTGAACCTCCTTCCCACACTGAAATCAGGGAAAAAAGACAGCAGTAGGATGAAGCAAGAGTTAATGTTGAGCGAGACTGGAGAATCCTGCAGTCTACAAACTATTTCAAGGAGGAGGAGGAAAAAAATTACTCAGGTCAAGTGTTAACGTACAACTCTCAGCAGTAGCTAGTGATTGCTATCTAGGTGTTAAAGACAAATATTACATCCTTAAAATTGAATATAATTTCGTTCTCATATTATGAAAGCTGTTTTGTTGCCACATGAAATAGTCCACATCGCTGTACCTCTGGGGGCATATTTCATTATCTTATGATTACATCTTATTCAGTGCAACACATAAATAATTAGAAGTAGTAGTTTAGCATGATGCAACTCTGCAATTCCACCATCATGGTTTTGAAATAATTGTGTGCTAATACATTATCAATGTGACAAACCCACCTAGTTTTAGCATGCATTAATATTTCCCACCCTTCAGCCATCCCAAATCTTACAACTACATATTTCTTCCTTTTATATCAGAGCCTTCTGAAAAAAGCAGTTCAGAAAGCAATACTCTGCTATCTCATTTGGAGTGAAAGCCCCCTGAAGAGACATACATTGAGTATTACCAGCAACACATGACTCAATGCCCTCTAGATCTCTTTATAAAAGGAGAGAGGAGAAAAGCCAAAGAGCCATTGCATGGATTTCAGTAAACATTGCAGAAGTAGCCCAGAAGGAAGTGTGTGTGTCCCTGTGTCCTTGCCAGAGGACAGTCAGAGCTGGGTGCAGACACCAGCAAAGTTAGAACCTCCTGTGAACCAAGTGGCTTCATTTCTATGTACTTCTACTTAAAATTTCCAATGGCAGTTCCCTCCAGCTCAGTTGCTAACAGCAGCACCAACCATAGGTGCCCACAATTTTGCATGGTCATTAGCATTTCAAGTAGCAGAACCTTTAGCCATGCAAACACAGAGAAAAGTTTCTGGTATTTCACCACTGCCTGGCCCCTGGTCCCAGCTGCAATCTAGAAACACAGCAGCAAAGCCTCTTCTCCATGCTTCTAAAGGCCTCAGGTCAGTTTTGGGGTGGAGGATGGGTGAACATGTGCATCAGTTCTTGTTTCATCTGAACAGGGTCACTTCTCTGCAGCAGGGGAATTATTTCCCTGGCAGTGGTGATGGCCAGCTGTTCTCAGCATCACCCCACTGATTTTGAGATTGGGAGCAGGCTTAGAAGTGGCTGAAGACCCATGTGTAAACATGACATTGTTTCACCAGGAGCTTTCCATCACAGCGGAAATGATGCTTCCCCCAGCATCATTATGACAGCGCTATTTGTGCTGGTACAGATAAGTATCTGTCATTGTTTCCATTAGAATCTCCTATTTTCCTGGGTTCATAGCTCAGCCATAAAAAATGTAGCGTGGATGCAGAAAGTTGACATACAGGGTCTCAGGCTGAGAGTGATCACTGTTGTCTTTTCTTTCCCCCTTTCTAATCTGAAGAAGAAAATAATGTATTTCTGCTGAAACACACTTGACCACAGTGTTTCGATCCAGCTGTAGGTTTATTTAGCAATAGTAATGGCGATGAACACTTTTGAAAATTCAAGTTGTGAACTTTGCTGCAATAGCCTCTTTTCAACATCCAATCTTAATTACTGGGTTAGGGATGGTGAAGGAAAACATGTGGCAAGTGGGTTTGGGCTCTAGTTTAGAGCCTGTTGCTAGAGAATAGGTCCAAGTGAGGAGTAAGCCCTCCAGAGCTTCTGATCTTTTCCAGATATTGAAAATAAAAATTAAAGATTATAGAAACAGAATATTCTAGAAACTAAATACTGCTAGGAACTAAAGGCATAGAAGACCCCCTTGGGTGAGTGGCAGAGGGAAGAGGAAGCCCAGCATTGCAGTTTCCCTAGTGAGACAGTCGGCATCCCACCCAGCATCAGCACTCGGTGTTTTGATTGCTTTAGGCAAACTTCCACCCTGTAATCTTGCTGTGGTTGCGTACCGGATAGCGAAAACTCCATCCTGTGTGCAGTGATACTGGGAAACCTCTATCCAGATCCTGGCAGCGCAAGATGACTGATGAAGTGAGAGCAGCAGTTGGCCAGAGGCAGCAGTGATTTCTCACTGGGGATGAGGGCAGTTTGTTCTTCTTTCCATTTTAAGTGCTTTTTCATTCTGTTCACGTATTTTGTAAGAATAACTGCAGCTGAAAAAGTTTTTCTCTATGCATTAGGATGATAGCGTAAGACAGTCCTGAAGAGTGCAAATCCTGAAAACCCATTATCCAAAACTTACAGTCAACATTTAAAGGAATTAAACAGGAAAAGTTATATGATCATTTCTAGCCTGCTGAAACATGGATTCTGCTTCTGACCTCTTGAGCATTTTGCATTTTCAACAGGACTTCCCTCTCTGAGTGTACAGGAAGGACATACCTGGGCGTATGTGTCTACCTTAAATTGGTAGATTGGAAGTCTGCTGTTTACTGAGACCTGTATGTTTCACTCTGAAATCTAACACTATTCTGTTGCTCCCAGAAGTAATTACTTGATTTCTGATTACAGACAATTTTGCATTAGACTTAGCTTGGCCTCATCACATTTCTGAATAGTGAGATGTGTGGCATGGCTGGGATTGCTTAGAGCTTCTTGAAGGCTGGGCCTGGCTAAATACAGGCAGCTTAGTAACTGAAGCCAAGACATCAAAAACATGGTTATCTATCTATCTCATTGTCTGTCTCAAACTAAAAGCACAATCAGGCATGCTAAGTTAGGAAAAATGGAAAAGACAACACCAGGAAAGACAAAAGTACAATAAACAGTTTAGGACACAAGTACACCAGCAGAAGCAGCTGAACAAGGCAGGATTTTAAGCCTAAACCAGTCAAGAGGTTAAGAGGAAAGAAAAAGAGGAATGGAAAATGCTGCTATTGGAATGGAAAATGTTCCATTTCACTCCATCTCTCAGCAGAGGTGCCACTTTGCTTTTCAGGTTTTCCAGCTTCCTTGGGCATCTTTTTATTTAACAAATTTGTGAGCAAAGGGTGTCTGCTCCTGCACATCACAGCCCTCAACCTGTCCGGACATTTATCCATTTGCGCCAGTGGACAGCTCCCACTGAGCTTTTTGCATCTTCTGTAAGCTATTTTGAGTAAAATCCTTGAGCTTTCATGGGGCAGCAAATGGTTCAGACCCTACTGGTGTAAAAATAAGTGTTAATGGCTCCTTTTGTATCTCGATAGTTTACAGAACTCTTTCTATCTGCTTTGAAACAGGTATTTTGTGACACTCATCAAGTCGTACAAGCCACAGATGTGCTGGACTGGGAAGACAAGGATGCTGCAGACACACTGGTTGACAATGTAGTCCACTCCAGGATCATCAATCCTTTACGCCTGTTTGTTAAGCCATCTCCAGTACTGAAACACGGCCAGGTGTCCTACTCTGACAGTATAGAAAACTTTTGGGATTGGTTGTCCAACATCACAGAGGTTCAGGAATCTCTCACACGAACTAAACGCAGACCTATTGTAAAAACCGGGAAATTCAAGAAAATGTTTGGATGGGGCGACTTCCACTCTAACATCAAAACTGTTAAGCTGAATCTCCTCATCACAGGGAAAATCGTTGATCATGGCAATGGGACATTCAGTGTTTATTTCCGACATAACTCCACAGGTTTGGGAAATGTTTCTGTAAGCCTGGTGCCACCTTCCAAGGTGGTTGAGTTTGAACCATCTCCACAGTCAACACTGGAGACCAAGGAATCCAAGTCCTTCAACTGCCGAATTGAGTACGAAAAAACAGACCGTGCTAAAAAAACTGCCCTGTGCAATTTTGATCCTTCAAAGATCTGCTACCAAGAGCAGACTCAAAGCCATGTCTCCTGGTTGTGTTCCAAACCCTTTAAAGTTATCTGCATCTACATTGCTTTCTACAGCGTAGATTACAAACTGGTGCAAAAGGTCTGTCCTGATTATAATTACCATAGTGAGACTCCATACTTGTCCTCTGGCTGATACAGTCATGGGTAACTAGAGATACAGCATCACTCACAAAAATAAGCATTTCCTTTCACCTTTTGGAGAAGAACATGTTTTCCTATCAGGTTAAAAAGTCTTTTAAAACTGTAGTGGTGTTTGTGCTGTATCGTAAATAATCAAACTGGTTAGGTAACAATCATTTTCGTTTGAGACTCTTGCATTTTAGCTCTCATCGTTAATAAGGGAACTACCAGGCAGACCCATGACAAAAATAAACCAGAATTCTGTCTGTCATGAACACTGATATTGAAAACCAGTTTTGTAAACTAGACTCGATGGTAGAGATGTTGTTTACTTGACTTGGACAGCACTTATCAGGATCCTGTTTCTCATTGGGGACTTCAGACGATGACATAAAGCACAAATGATGAGCAGACTTTCAGCTGTTTATATACAAAATCCAAATAAACAGATCTCCCACTAATTTCATAAAGAATGTTACACAGGGCTCAAGGAATCAAGTCCAAATACTAAGAGAGAGTGCTATTTCTGGGACAAAAAAAAGGAAATGAATCTGCATTTTTATGAGTTGTAGTAGTTGTACGTATTCATGGAAGTGAAGAGTGAGTAGTTCTTCCTTCAGCCTTCTTACCTGTGGATATGCAATGATGTAATTAGACATTGATGAGCTTTAGTTTATTAGACCCACCAGGTGTGCAGGTTTGGTGTACATGTCACCTCTGGTCTCGATTCTTCTCCAATGTTTACATACACACCAGTACAAGTTGTACAGTGATAGAGAATATACTTACCTTGGAAAAAGATAATCTCTGTTTAAGTCTGAAAATTATGGCAGGGGCTGGCTTTTTCCATGTACAGGAAGCAATTATTTTGCTGTCTAGCCCTTTTAGCACTGTATTGCGGCAAGGATAATACATCACAGCATAAGGACGATACCTGAACAACTACAAGCTTTCTGCTTAATCACACCCAGTTGTCTTCCTTAGCATTGCATTGCAATCAAATCAAAATATAAGCAATGACAAATAGAGAGAACAACAATCTATGCACCTTCACGTCAAAGCACATTTCAAACAATTACTATCAACATAAAAATATTCAATATTACATACAGCTGAAGTACTATTAAAATACTCCATTTAAGTGGTGCACACCCAGACACGCCTGTGACAGCTCGGGAGGACTCACTTGTGAGATTAACTCTGATTTCCTTGGTAAAGACTCATACAAAAAAAATAACAAGTAAAAAAATACTATTAAAAATCTATGAGTAACTGGCTAATTTGTTTTTCTCTTTAGGCAACAAATCTAAATGTGTGGTTTAGTTTGATCAATAATCTAGGTGTTTTCCTTCATCTTATTTCATACAGAGTCTCTCCTGGTCTAAATGATGGTTTTTAGTTTGTCTATTACTGTCAATTCCTACAAGATGGTCTACTTTGTATTCTGTATAGCCTGTCCTCGTCCTGGCTGTATATAAGCTTGGATTTATTGCAATGAGTTCAGTGGTTGGTGCTTTTGTAACTTACCTGTAAGCCATGATTTTATTGCCATCTATTTTTATTCAGAACTGTAGGCAATTAAAAGAAAACCCTACATGCTATATATTGTAGAGTATGTGGAAATTATGTATGTATATACACTTAAATATGTGTACATATACAGAATATATGTGTACATGTATTTGTATGTAAATAAAGAGAGTTTGCTAAATCTGGCACTTGCTTGTGGCATACTTGATTTTTAATTTTTTTCTTAAATGCTGTGTATATGTATGTGTGTGTATATCTATATATATAGGTATATATATATAGATATATAAAGACACAAAGTAAAACTAAGGCACTGGAACATTTTTCCCCGTTTGCTTTTTAGGAGATGAAGTTTTAAGTATGCACTACAGTGAACTGTGCTACAAGCCTAGACAGAGTAGGTTTAATAATATTTCATATTTGACAAATTAAGTGCATGTTTTGACAAAGACAGCCACGAACTGTTTAGTAATTGTGGAAGATGCATTAGAAGTAAAAGGGTTAGTCTAAATTAGGAAATGTCCCCAAGCAGGAACACGCTGGGAGAGGCAGCAGTGCGTTGCTGATTCAGCTCTTGCTCCAAATCATCATCTTCCAGTGCAGACATCTCCTTACTGCAGCACAGCCACATCCTAGGCTGAGCTTTCCAGACCTCAGGAAGACAAACCAGGGCCTTGAGCAAACATACATCACTCTGGAAACATCCAGAGGGCCTGGGCCATTTGGGAATCCAAATGGAAAAACTATTAGGAATTAAGGGCCAAGTCTTTTAGCAGGTTTAACACTGTGCTTCTTGAACAGGAAGACAACATTCACCGACTGGCAGCTTTTGACTTAAAACAACTCTCAGGCTCTTCAAGTGAGGCTCAGGCTGGTGCCACACCATGGGAGCAGTGCTGAGTGTGAGGAGCAGCAGAGAAAGACCCACTACAGCAGGAGATGTGAACCTGGACCCATCCTCCAGCAGAGCACTGGGAAGAGCTGTCATCTCTCACCTCCAAGTCCCACCACGGAGCTTTCCTGCTCCCAAACCTGCTGACAGAAGAGCCACCACCACCAAATGTGCTCAGCTCCCTCCGCACTCAGCAAACCCAGACAAAGACAAAGGCAACGGCACACAGGAGGGGCGCATTTGGAGACATAGCGGATGCTTGTGCAACCTCAGCAGCATCTGAACAGTTTTCCAGCACTCTGAGTGGGGGCAGTGGGAGAAGCTTGTGCGTCCCACCAAGCCCCAGCACAAGGCAGGGGCTGGGCAGCTACAACAGGAGAGGGGGCAAGCTGTGGTACCAAACTCATCATGCCACAGAGCTCACCACCGCACTTTTTCCTATCAAAATACGTTAAGCTTAAAAAAACCCCAACCTGTAACGCTGTTTTCTGATCAATTTTAAGAAAAACACTGGAAAAAAAAAAACCCAGTTACAATCTTACTGCAGTCAAAATCAGATTAAGTTACTTGCGCCTAAGCAAAATACAATGCAATGAATAGAAGGGACAGACTTCATATGGTCAAATTTCACACTCCCCATGTAAACAGAACTAAATTTGATTTAATTTCACACAGTATAGGCCATTAAAAAAAAACAAAACAAACCCCCACCACTTCCCTGTGTAACAAGTGACTATTTTAGACAAGTTTCAGGGATTCTTCCTCTCATGACTCTTACTCAAAGGATTTTAAAATAAAAATTGGGAAGATTAAATACCATTTTTGAAATCATCCCAATTGGGCAATAATGACTTATAACCACAGCAACTTAATCTGAAAGTTTTCAATGTACATCTTCGATTTAATCCAAATCTCAACACTGTAGTTGTGCATGCACGTATAGCAATACAAATATGTATTTAAACTCCTTACTAAATACACTTCCTACTGCTTTTCCCATCCCATGGATATACACATAAAAAGACCCAATCAAAAGCTAATTCATGATACTACATAAGCATCGGTGCTCATGCTTGAGGCAGCACCCTGCGCAGTGCTGCAGGAACCACATGCACATGAGGGTGTGCTTTTTTAATCATTTCAACTTGAGCAGGGAACTAACTTAGTTTGGTTTTTTTTTTTCCTTTTCCCCTCAAGAATTTCATGTTTTGGATCCGGAGCCTTCTCATCTCCTTGTAACCCTTGCATGTGGTCGGATCCTTCCTCAAGCTCCTCGGCCTCTCAGTCATCACAGCGCTGTGATGTTGCGCTGGGAGCCGCGGCGCTCCCCGGCCTCGCCGCCTGCGCAGCAACTCCCAGGCTCTTACATCAAGCAGCTGCTGCAGCAGCGAGCAAGGCAGGGAAAAGGCAAAAAGCTGAGTGTTGTTTGCTGTGAGCTCCCTGGGGTCGCTACATTTTCTTTTTCGGGAGGATTTAAAGTGCAGTGCTGAAAGAGCAAACCCCTGAATAATCCCCCTGCCACTGGAAAAACTCTCACAGCAACACAGCGAAGGTGTTCAGTGCACATCAGCACATCCTGTGCTGCTTTTTGTTAATTGTTATTCAAGGACATTAGAATTTGCTATTTGTTTTATGCTCTGTTGACTAGCCTAATCTGGATAATGTTTTATTTATAGTATAGTAATGATCCATCATTACCACTGTCCCTATTCGAATATGCACAGTTGAAAAGACAAAAACGAGTCACAACATACAAAGTAGCTCAATAAAACACATGGCAATCAAGTAGATTTTTAGCTGTTGTGTGTTCTTGTTGAAAACTAGGCTTTGCCAGTCCCATCTCTCTTGTCAACATCTCTTGCACACATCTGTCAGAAGCGGCTTCCTTCTTTGAAAACTACAAGAAATAAAGTGACATTTCTCACATACAGGCAACTAGCACCAAACTGTACTGAGAGAGTATTGTCTGTACTGTGTTAGACAAAAAACTAGCAGTTAGTGTCATCCCCTTGGCAGGTTTCCAAAGAAATCACAAGTTTATATCACATCCCTGCTGGAATCAGGTCTTTGGAGTTAGTGAAGAGAAGTTAAACCACAACTCACCATGCAGCTCCCTGTTGCCCGTGCAGCCCTGCTTGCAGCATGTGAAGGAACACGCTGGATCCACAAAAGAGGGATCCAAGGGACTAGTTTTGCAAAAGAAGAGTTGAATTGTCATGAATTGTCCCTGCTTCAGTCAAACCACACCTCATCTGGGGGGCTGCTGAGGCAAGGGTCTACCAGACCTCAGCAGATCTGGAAATGGAAGAGGTGGAAGCTGAATGGAGTCTGCTGGGTGCTGCTGGCAGCACAGCATGGCAGCATTTTCCTGGTGAGACTGCTGCAACCATCCCCATCAGGCTGCTCTGCAGCCCAAAATACCTGTGGGTTTTCAGTCAGGAGGAAGCCTCCAGTCGCCAGTACTCTCTAGCAAGAGCCCCCGTTATCTAGACTAAATTTTGTAGACAAAGAAAAGAGTCATCAAAAAATTATTTTCCAAAGACATAATTTGCTCTTTCACTCAGCTCAACTCTAGCACCAGCTGCAGCTCA